AAAAATTAAATATTTAAAAAAATAACACTTCGAAAATTTGGGGTGGAAAAAATATTAATTATAATTATTATTTTAATTATATTAGAATTATTATAGAAATTAATATTATTATTAATAATAATATTAATATTACTACTACTAAAAATATTACTGCAAACGCTATAAAATATTATTATTAGCATTTTTTAAAAATGATATAATAGTAATAATTTTATTTTACAGTACAACTAAATTACAAAACTAATATTTATGGATGTGTTCATTCATTCAATAAATACTCTATTTTATTTGGGGAAAATAGTTTTAATTGCAATTGTGATTTAAAATGCATTAAAAAAAAAGAAAAGCTCCAGGTTTGCTGTGCTTATTTGTAGGCCTGCACAATTTGGCTCATGAAGTAGGCTTGGATGCACTAAAGGTAACAGGGAGTGGTGATCAGGTATGACGTGCATGTAAAGTGCAGTTTGAAGTCCAGTTTCTCATGAGTGGAGGATTCGTCCGACTGCACCAGAAAACAATCAATACGCACGTCAACAATACTAACACTCACACTGGAAACATATAGAAAAGTATGAGCTCTTGTGTGTGTATGGGAGTTTCTCACCTTAACTATGAAGGTGAGGGTTCCCTTTAGTTTCTGAGGCATGACAATACTCTGCACTGAGAACACGAAGTGGGCCTCGTTTGAAATCCCTGGAAAAAGATTTGAATACATGAGTAAAATCTGCCTAAATCCAGTTAATGACACTTTCAGGAGCGTCGCTATCCTGACCTGGTGGCAGTTGGAAGGGAACGGTGAGGCTGTCGTGAGCTCCGGCTCCCTCCGGCCGCTGCAGTTTGGAGTTGAGGGAATCCAGCACATTGAACTCCATTGACTTGAGGAAGCTGTCGCTCTTATTCTCAAAGATGACCGACACCACAACTTTGCTCTCATCCTGATGGTTGCCCTGGATGTCGTACACCTACAGAAAAAAGGGCGTTTTTTTTTTTTTAGAGTAGGAAACTATTAGGAGGCCAAAACATGCAGAACAGTGGTTAAAGAAGGCCAGAAGAAATTGGAATATTACAAGCCCAAAAACCAGGTCAAAAGCAGTTAATATAATTATCATCATCCAAAACGAGAAAGAAATCACATCAGCTTTAACTACACCAAACAGGTGCATTTAACAACTAATGTTTAAAGTCAGAGCTCAAAGGCGATTGACAGTCTTATAGCACTCAAAAGACGTCAGTCACAGCAGAAACCAGATTTAATTTGACTTTAATGAACACAAGGCTGTGAGGGATGGAAAAACAGTTCATTTAATATGTTGTGCATGTACGTATATTTATTTATTTTTTACTATTTAGTTAAATAGTGTGAATACACAACGCCTTTCTATTGTCTTCACTGGCTGCATAAAAAATATATAGAGTGCGACTTGTGTATTCCAGTTCACAAACAAATGAGTCTTCAGGTTCATTTAATGAATCAGCAAAAATGCTGGACAGACTCGTGAGTTGACTAAAGAACTGATATATAATTTATTATAAAATATTATATTAAATTACATTATAAAATAAATTTTATTATTATATATATATATATATACACACACACACACACACATATACATACATTTACACATACATACATTTACATATATGCACACACACAAAATACACTCTCTCTCTATATACACACACACACACACACACACACAGAACTGACCTATTAACCTTGTTTTTGTTTGTATTTGGTGTTTATTGTGACTAAAGTCTGTATCACAGCAAGTTAGTGGCAACAACAGTAGTTCTGTTCCTATGGTTACCTGATCAGCATCTTCTTTCATCTTAAAACATACATACAGAGACACATGAACAATACATCATTCACAAACCACAGACCAAAATCACTTAAAGCAACGAGTTGCTTCAGCAAAAACAGCAGCCGTGTGACAGGATCATGAGATCTCAATTACAGGCTGAGCTTCATGCTGGTGCAGGAGACAAACATCAGACTGACTCACTCCACATCACGTCACACTCACCATCTTGATGTAGGAGTTCTCGGCCAGCAGAAAGTAATTGGACATGGGCTGAAATGAGATGGAGGTTGGATAAGTACAGGATAAAGTATATTTACTAAGCATTTAATGTCACCGAGTGGCCTTCTGTGATTGGTTGGCTAGATAGATACTGACCGGCAGAGGCTCCTCTTCCTCCACGGTGCCGTTTTGCACTGAATCCTCCCCACCGGCGTTACTGTGATGATGATGGTGGTGGTGTCTCTTCTTCTTTTTCTTCTCCTTCTCCTCCTTTTCTTTCTTCTGCTTCTTTTTCTTGTGTTTAGAGGATTTCTGAACAGGAAACCAATGCACAGTTGGCTTAATCTGGTTTCAACAGAGCACAACAATATTTTGTATTCTTCTGCTGATTTTTCAATAAAGTCTTGAAAAGTCATTCCTTGCCTAAACATACATAAATCAGGAACATGTCATGTGACCTGCTCATCCCATTAAGCGTTGCAAATTACTACATTGAAGAAAAAAATACACACACATTAACAGTGGACATCAAAATTAGAGAATAATCTATATACTTGATTTCTTCTGAAATATTGTTCAAAATTTGAAGGAATATCAGCTGTAGGTATACCACTGTTCCACTAACATGTTTGACAAAATATCCAAGGCATTTCAACAAAACCCTTTATTTTACGGAAAACTTATTTGGCAGAGAACAGTAACCACTGTAGCATGAAAGAAGATTACAACTAAAATTTAGGAGGGTTACAGCTGTCAGAAATTAGTAGGAAGTGTAGAGGCCCCTGCTTTGAGTGACTTCAGCACATCTGCGGCCGCAGGACATTTTCTTCAGTTTCTCACACTCAGTGGTGGACAGTTAACGAAGTACATTTACTTGATTACTGTACTTAAGTACACTTTTTAAACTTATGACACTTTTTAAACTGATGACTAACTTCACTACATTTGAAAGACAAATATATGTACTTTTCACTCTACTTTTCTATCAAAGTCGTTACTACGCAGAAGCTTTAAAAGTATGAGATTGTTTTTCCTTCTCTAAAATGTGACTTTTTTTTAGACAGCCTATAAGTAATCAATTTTGTAGGGTTACGTGAAGTGATTTCCCAGCATTTTTTGAACACTGACCAGATGCAAATGTGATATTTATTTACAACAATTCAATAAGTTAATATTGTGGTATATATTAGACACAATTTTGTGAAATTGTGTAAATGAAAATATTAGCTATAAAGCCACAGAAGAACTGTCGTGAGTCTCTTAAAACACAATAGGCATCTGACTTGAAGCAGCACTGCACAGACTGTTCTGTGTATGACATCAAAGTACTGCGTGAGCGATTAGAGAGCATTTTTGACATTTTTGTTTTGATGTCAAATAAATCTTGCGGTTTTGGTTTTGTGTTAAAGCAGTGTTGCTGTCGTAAATTTATACAGCTACAGTTGTTTTGCTGGGTTTTAAAGCAGGTTTGATTTTTCTTTCTTTCTTATCACTCTGTATTTACAGCAATTTCACGATCCTCTCTGTTCAAATGTGGATGAACGGCTACACACTGAGCTGTGTATCTGTATAAGAGGCCCAACTCCTGCTGCACAAAACATGCCCCAAACAATGACACTTCCTCCTTCACTTTTTACTGACTTCTTTATGCACTTGGGCTTCAGTCTTTCCTCAGTTTGATGCCGAACAATTGTTTCCCATCAGATCCAAAGAAATTAAATTCAGTCACCTTAGAGCGGCCCACCATCTTGCAATCTCAGTGAAAATCTCAGAGTTCTTTTTCAAATATCTAATTTGAGTTTTTTTATACTGAGCTTCAGAATACAATTAATTCAAGAAATATGCTTAAAAAACTGCCCTTCCACTCCTGTTAGGATAACTTCAAATAGGACTAAGCAGTGACCTTGAAATTTAGGAAATTATAGGTTGTTCTCTAATTTTGATCTCCACTATGTGTGTGTGTGTGTCTGTGTATGTATGTATGTATGTATGTATGTATGCATACGCGCCTGGCTCCGCGTTTAAAACGAATGTAAATTCAGTCTAACTGCTTGCTAATTTCACTTGGATGAAATGAAACATTCAGCACATTTTCCACTTGTTCTTAAAATCCCAAATACTTAAAATGAATAAATCAATGTAATACTTTAATAATTGACTTAAGAAATACAGTTCTTTATTTATAAAAAATAAACAAATATTTTCTGTGAAATTCAGTAATTAAGTTAATTCTGTAAAAGTAGTTATACCATTATAATCTTGCCTGCTGAAGAAAAAAACCATAGAACCCCTCCCAAAACACAATAACAAATGTAATAGATTTCAGGGTTATAATGGGAATTTGTTTGGTTTTAATGTAAACTATAATGGTGTCTATTTGATGGATTCTATTGGTGGGCTGTAATCTGGCAGATGGCAACCAATAGAACAACAGTAATTCCTATTGGAATAATGCCCAAAACAAAAAGGAATTTTGTAATGGTTTAATGGAAACTATAAGAATGTCTGTGATGGTTTCTATAGTTTTTTTCAGCAGGGTAATGATACCCATACTGTGCTGCACATTATTGACAATATTGAGCTGAAGCTTGACTTTGCAAATTTAAAATCGCAAATCAAATCGCAATCTCTGTCAAAAAAAATCGCAATTTGATATTTTCCCCCAAATCGCACAGCTCTAATATATATATCTCAGTGGTGCGCGGTGGTGTTCTGAAATGAGGCGGCAATTTGTAAATCAAATGTAAATTCATGTCCCAGTCACATTTTCTTGGATAAATAAACATTGCTTACACTATCAGAAAAATGTAGCTAATCAATATTCTATTTATTAAAGCCAAGTATGAATCTCATCATTTTACATTTATTCCAAACTAATAACTCAAGGCAGTAACAATTTAAACAATATATTTTATTTGTGAACTTATATTCAGCTATTCGTTTTAATAGTTAACTTTTAACTATTTTTGATTTTTTCGGATCACCAGTCATCCAAGCTTGGTAAATATTGGTCACAGACAGAGATTTACCTTGAATTTCTCCAAGCTGATTACTCACTAAAAACTCCCACAGATCATGTTTTCAGGCCATTTTAAGTCTTATTTTGACGTAATAAATAGGTTACCTAATTGTGTGAATTGTTTACTTACTTTTTTTTATAGGAGTCCTCCCATTAAAGCCATTATATTGTTCATTCAGACTGATTCACAAATGTGGAATGCGCATAAACACAAGAGGCGGGATTTATCGCATGAACCAATCATAGCCGATCATTTCCCCCCATTCATTCTCAGTTACCCACCATCAAACTCACTGCACGCTTTAGGGGGTCTGTTAAAACTCAATGGGCTCAGGGGAGGCGAGAGAGAGACAGACTCCCGCTGTTTCTCTACCTGCTGGTGTCGCTGTTGGACAATGTTTCTTTAGATAAACGAGTGATTTATACAATTTTAATGTTGTATTTTGTAATATTGGCACTGTTTTATTTTTGTAAGGCTTTTTTTTTTCTCATCCAATTTTTTGAGACACTGCCTCCCTTGCCTCCTCGGAGGAAACACCCCTGAGAGAGAGAGAGATGGACTAGTGTCTGTGAATATTAAGCCGCAAAAAGACAATATATGGATCCTGCACGTTCTGCGTGTCTGTGGAAATCAGGCACAGACTTGCCATCGGGAGAACCGGGACAATTCCCGGTGTCCTGGCAGCCGATTTGCCCCGCTATTTTAATATTATTATTGTATAATTGCCTGCCGAATGTACTAAAGCGATTATTTCCAAATTCGCCTTTCGATAATTAAAGCTTGAAAAAGTTACACTACTATTACATTTTAAATAGGGTAACTTGTAATCTGTAACCTATTACATTTCCAAAGTAACCTTCCCAACACTGTATATATATATACACATGTATGTGTGTGTGTGTGTGTGTGTTTTTTTTTTAAAGTTAATTTTTTTTAGTTCAATGTAAATAATTTCTGTTTGTTTAAATGTATAATTTTTTATATAATGTTTAATGTAATTAAACATTTTTTGTTCAATTAAACTTTAAAATGTTTTGTTAAAATGCATATATTTATTGTTGATTAATGTTTAATTTAAATGTGTTTATTAATATATACAGTTTTTAAAAAATGTAAATATTTGTATTTATTTAAAATGTAAATAATTTTTGTTCGATAAGGCTTTTAACTCTGGTTGAAGCACTCTTTATCCTTGTCCTATATTTTTGCTGCATGTTATGATGTTTTTCTTTTCCTTTTTCTCTCTGTTCTTGGTTTTACTGTTTTTATTTTTCATTGTGTTATTGCCGTTTTTAGTTATTCTATTGTAAAGCACATTGGTCAACTCTGGTTGTAGTAAATAGTGCTATATAAATAAAATTGCCATTGCCATTAAAATAATGCTTTTTTAAAAATATTGTTTTCTTAAAATGCATATATTTATTGTTGATTAATGATTCATTTAATAGTATATAATGTTTTTATATGTATACACACACGCGAGCATAAATTATTCTTATTTGTGTACATTTGTGTATTGATGTTTATTTGAAAAATGTATACAAGTATTGTTATTTAATGATTCAATTGTGTATATTTTAAAGATTTATAAAGATCAACATAGCACTGATGGTGGAACAAACAGAAAACTACTTTTTAAAACAAAAAGCAGTCGTGTAAGCCCCACCGTGTCCTCTGGTTCTGCGTCTTTAGGCTCATCAGGCTCAGATTCTGGGGCGGCCGCAGAGCTCGTGTCCACAGCAGCAGCAGACGAGGGCGCCGTCTCCTCCTGTAAATAATCAAACATTAAAACACACCCACTTCCTGCTTTCAAAATCTTCCACAGAGTGATCCTCTACACTATGAAGCATGCACAATTAACAATATCATGATCAAGAAGAAGAAAAGCTAATTTGATGTTGTTGAATTGTCACATTGGGAGAAAATGGTGAGAAAGTGGTGAACCTGCAGTGAGAAAGTGATGTTTTTGTTTTTTCGCTTTTGAGGTCAAGATAATACTGTGTTTGCATTAAGAGGAACTGAACTATGATGTTTGGGCAGACAAAATAAGTACATCAAGGCCGTTCTGTCTCAGGTGACCTACATTCGGATCATGAGGCAAATGCGGTTTTGTGCACATGAGCTGTTTGACTGGAACCGCAAGAACTGTCAAGAGTAATGGCTGTTTATGATGATAAAGACACGATCATACAGGAGAAGCTTCCCACATCAGTAATTAAGACACATTTACACCTCTGCACGTGCACACATGCACCCTGAACTAAAACAAGCAAATGCTAACAAACACACATATGTGCGAGACCTGTGAAAAACAGTGAAAAAAAGAGGTGAGACAAAGAGATTGGCACGTCAAGAACATTGAGAGCCGGAAGGGAACACACAAAACAGACGCTCATTAACAATAGGACAGACCGACAGCAGTATGACCGGAGGGGGAGGAGAGGGAGAGAGTGTGAGGGACCGGACCTGGGCGGCGGGAGGAACAGGAGCGCTACAGAGCCAGAAATCCAGTTCCGAGGCCTAGAACAGAAAAGGCAGGGTGGGGAACATGAGTCCAATCCTGTTTGACTCAAACAGAACCCCAAACAAATGCTCTGGCGACGACAGAAAACAAAATGAGCACATATTCCATCACCATGTCTGTTATGGCCACTTCCAACAGTTATTCAAATGTTCATTTTACATAAAAAAAAGTATTATTATTATTAGTAGTAGTAGTAATATTATTGTTACATTTCTGTTAAATTAATTTATGATTTTATACAATGTAAATGTGGACACAATTGGTTTTCATTTAAGCAAGTAAGAATATTTCAGTTAACCCTGCACCTCCTAGTGGTTTAGATTAAGAAAGCAGGAATTTTCATAGTCGAATATCATTAAAATTAACAACCAGTTCATCGTTAAGATTAATATTGCAATACGTACATTAGGGCTGCACAATTAATACAATTTCTAATCGCGATTACAATTATGGATGCCACAATTACGTAATCGTTCAAAGCGGCAATTAATCGTTCAAAGTCCACTCATGTTATTCTGTGCTTAAGATGCTTTTTTTTCTTTCTTTCTACATGTTATCTTAAGGGTTTTTCCATTTTTTAATTTTAGTTTTAGTATAACATTATAATACCATTCATATTTTTACTTTTTTAAGTAAAACTCTCTCATGATTGCAATGATTGAGCCACCTCAATCAGCTCATTCACAAACTGGTCCAGCTGGGGCTCAACACTTCGCTGTGCAACTGGCTGTTGGACTTTCTGACTGGAAGACCTCAGGCAGTTCGGGTCGGCAGCAACACATCCAGCACCATCACACTGAACACTGGGGCCCCCCAAGGATGTGCTGAGCCCCCTCCTCTTCACTCTGCTGACACACGACTGCACACCGTCACACAACTCCAACCTCTTCATTAAGTTTGCGGATGACCCGACTGTGGTGGGTCTCAGTAGCAATAAAGATGAGACAAACTACAGGAGCGAGGTGAGCCGTCTGGCCGGGTGGTGCAGTGACAACAATCTCTCTCTGAATGTGGAGAAGAAGGAGGTGTTGTTGATTTCAGGAGAGTGCGCACTCAGCATGCTCCTCTGTCCATCAATGGTGTGACTGTGGAGAGGGTGAGCAGCACCAAGTTCCTGGGTGTGCACATCACAGAGGACCTCTCCTGGACTGACAACACCGCAGCACTGGCCAAGAAAGCACAGCAGCGTCTCTACTTCCTCCGCAAACTAAGAAGAGCCAGAGCCCCGGCCCCCATCATGTGCACCTTCTACAGAGGCACCATCGAGAGCATTCTGACGAGCTGCATCACTGTGTGGTATGGCGCCTGCAACGCGTCCTGCCGCAAGACACTTCAACGCATAGTGAGAGCAGCTGAGAAGATCGTTGGTGCCTCTCTCCCCTCCCTCCAGGACATTTACAACACCCGTCTCACCCGTTTTTTTTTTTGCAATAGGATCCACTTTTCTTTTTTGACAGTATATAATATATTGCATTATAAAGTAACAACAACCCTGTTACAACGGGAATAATTATTTAAAATTTTTTTTTTTTTTTTTTTTTTTGTATTTCTGTTGTATTTTAATTTTAAGTGTGAGCACCTCTATAAAAGGCAAAATTCCGGCAGTTTGCTGCTCTGGAGCCTTCAGGTGTGTGTTAACACAATGCCAAAGAGGAAATTGCCATTGTGTTAACACATCATTCGAGTCCCGAAGAAGCCGTCTCCATCCTGCTTCAATTCAACACAATCATCCCTCAACAGCTCATTCACAAACTGGTCCAGCTGGGGCTCAACACTTCGCTGTGCAACTGGCTGTTAGACTTTCCCCCCAAGGATGTGTGCTGAGCCCCCTCCTCTTCACTCTGCTGACCCACGACTGCACACCGTCACACAACTCCAACCTCTTCATTAAGTTTGCGGATGACACGACTGTAGTGGGTCTCATTAGCAACAGAGATGAGACAAACTACAGGAGCGAGGTGAGCCGCCTGGCTGGGTGGTGCAGAGACGACAATCTCTCTCTGAATGTGGAGAAGAAGGAGGTGTTGTTGATTTCAGGAGAGTGCGCACTCAGCATGCTCCTCTGACCGTCAATGGTGCGACTGTGGAGAGAGTGAGCAGCACCAAGTTCCTGGGTGTGCACATCACAGAGGATCTCTCCTGGACTGACAACACCGCAGCACTGGCCAAGAAAGCACAGCAGCGTCTCTCTACTTCCTCCGCAAACTGAGAAGAGCCAGAGCCCCGGCACCCCATCATGTGCACCTTCTACAGCGGCACCATCGAGAGCATTCCGACGAGCTGCATCACTGTGTGGTATGGCGCCTGCAACGTGTCCTGCCGTAAGTCCCCCTCCCACTAACACACTGGGACCTGCACCAGTCACTTTGTGCAACATTGGTCTGCTCACTACCTCATTCAGCATTGAAATGACCTCTTCTGACAGTTTAAATAAAGAACTCTCTGAGTTTTTTGTCACTTTAATCAGTCTGAATAAGCTCTTTTGCACTA